CTGTCTCCGTCTCTCCTGTAGTAAAATCAGGCACTGTGTGTCTGTTAACAGGCCTTTAAATGACCATAACAAGGTAAGCAGACGTTCAGTTGTCCGATAGCGATACTGTGATGTGTTTGTGTCGGTAATGATGTTTATGACTGATCTGTGTGTTTTGATCCAGACAGAAAAGTCCTGTGAGCGAGTCCAGGCCGAATCACAGACAGGTACCAGAGATGCACAGTATTTACACGTGATTTGATGATTTTGACTAATGCTTGAACTCAGAGAGAGAGAGAGAGAGAGAGAGAGTGTGCGTAAGTGTGTGTGTGTGTGTGTGTGAGTGTGTGTGAGAGAGAGAGAGAGTGTGTGAGACTGTGAGAGTGTGTGTATATAATTAATATTAATTATATATATAATTTATGCATAATAAATATATATATATATATATATATATATATATATATATATATTTTTAGTGGTGTCAAAATTAGCGTGTTAACGCAGGTGATTAATTTTTTCAGTTTAACACGTTAAAAATATTACGCAATTAAAGCAGGGGCGGGGCTAGGGTTGGCCACCCCTCTCACAACTGCTGCTTCTGTGACTTTTTCTCTTGACAAGAAGTGCTTTTATTCAGTCACAGAACGCCAGGCTCGAGTCAAGCGAGCGCGGATACAGTACTGTGCACAAAGGCGCCGGCGCACTGTAGTCTGTGTCCTTTCATATCAAAGCGCGAAATAAACTACGTGCATGCAGTGTCATGGTCAGTTAAGTCATGAAGTTACCAAAAAGGCGATTAAAGCTGCCTTAAAACTGTGCATGCATGTAACATATTTTATATGAGTCACATTTAAGAACATGTCTCTGAAATGGTTTTCAAAACTGTCCTGGAGCCCAGCACTGTCCCTCATCTAACACACCCGGTTCAACTCGTCAGCTCGTGTTTATTTTAGCACTTCCGTCAGTGAATACGCAGCCTGCAAAACACTAAAATAAATATCAAAGAAATAATACAGTTAAACAAGAAAGTAGCCTAAATAATAAAGTTAAATACACCCTGTCTAACGGACGCGAGCGGCGCGGCGTGACAAAATACTATAAAACTCATTATAATCATTGATGCTACACTGGATGCGACACGACACGACATGACAAATCCCCGACTGTAAACTGCCTCGTCCTATTTATGAGGTACTGACACAGAGTTCAAATGTCCTGTGTAGACACTAGACAGACTCTAGTTGCGACCTATTGCGATGCGGCGGTGTCGTGTCCGCCAATCAAGCGGCGCATTAAAGGGGTCATATGATGCGATTTCAAGTTTTCCTTTCTCTTTGGAGTGTTACAAGCTCTTGGTGCATAAAGAAGATCTGTAAAGTTGCAAAGACTAAAGTCTCAAATCCAAAGAGATATTCTTTATAAAAGTTCAGAGTCAGCCACACCTACCTAAAACTGCTCGTTCTAACACGCCCCCACATGTCTACATCACTATGTGGGAAGATTTGCATAACGCCACCCAAATGTTCACGCAAAGAAAGAAGGCGTAACTTTTATTCTCACTGTAGTATTGTTGCCGTCGCTGTGTTGTGAAGGCGCTGTGTGCTTCGTTGTGAAAGCAGAACTACTTTGTTTGGTCTTCCAAAAGAGGACACGACTAGAAATCAGAGGTTAAGTTGTATTTACAACACTGTTCCAGAACACTTCAACCCAAATATTCAGATGTGTGTGCGTGTGCGAGTGCGTGTTCAGGTGTGCTGATGTGTTGTTGTTGTCATTGTGTCAGATATTCAGCAGTCCAGCAAACATAAGGACCGAAGGAAAGGATCGCTGGACGTTCGCTCGACGACCTCTAGAGGAAGTGATGGTGAGATGACACTGCTGACCCCTGACCTTTGACCCTTAACCCAAACCTCGCCCCTCACTCAGAGCCCCTCCCCCAGGCGGAGTGTCCAGGTTTAGCTTAATCATGTGACTTGTGGTCAGATGATGCTTCAGTGTACAAACGGCTCGTCCGCCTGTCCGCTAATCTTCAGTGTGTTTGCACGACAGTGATTTTGGTTGAGCTGAATTTAGGATCAGCTGTAAAAGAAAGGAGCTTTATAAAACAAGTCACAGACTGACAGTCATAAAACTATGTTAATAAGAGAATCCCTGACTAACCCTTGACCTCTGACCCCTGCGCTCAGGTGCATGTGAAGTGAAGGATGTTTTCAGATCTTCTTGTGTTTAGCAGGAAGTTCTCAGAGGAGACACTCGTCTATGGCCAGAATCCACTCCATGACTATTGAAGCTCCCATCACTAAGGTACACGAGAGTGTGTGTCTGTGTGTGTGATTCTGCGGGCTCATATTTTAAAGTGGTGTGTGTGTGTGTTATTGTGGTTCTGCGGGCTCATGTTTTAATTCTGGTGTGTAGGCTATATGTGTGTCTGTGTGTGTGTGTGTGTGTGTGTGTGTGTGTGTGTGTAGGTGATAAACATCATCAACGCGGCTCAGGAGAGCAGTCCGATGCCGGTGGCCGAAGCGCTGGACCGTGTGCTGGAGATCCTGCGGACGACAGAGTTATACTCTCCTCAGTTCGGTACTAAAGAGGAAGATCCTCACACCAACGACCTGGTGGGCGGATTGATGACTGTAAGTCTCTCAGCGCCTCTGATCGCCTGTGTGTGCGTGTGAGTGTGTGCGTGTGTGTGCGTGTGAGTGTGTGTATGTGTGTGCGTGTGAGTGCGTGTGGAAACGTGCAGCAGAGCTACAGTCTGTCGCATGTAATCAGGAATGTGAAACGCTTCTTGGTTGTTTCTGTCAGTGGGATGCTGACGCTGCTTTCTCTCCTGCAGGACGGACTGCGCAGGCTATCAGGAAACGAGTACATCTTAGCCACAAAACGTGAGCGGAGTTCACTGCTTTCTGACCTTTGACCCCATTTCCTGTTCCACTATTCACACTGTTTGTGTTTCAGAGCTGCATCACATCCCAGGTCACCTGACCACACCGCTGTCCCTAAATGATATCCCACCATGCATTGCTCAGACGATGGAAAACGAAGACTCATGGGACTTTGATATTTTCAACCTGGAGTCAGCTACCATAAAGCGGTGAGACACATGCACACACACACACACACACACACACACACACACACTCTCTCACACACACGTTTACATTTGTGAAAAGTGGGGACATTCCATAGGCGTAATGGTTTTTATACTGTACAGACCGTATATTCTATTGCCCTACACCAACCCTACCCCTAAACCTACCCCTCACAGGAGACTTTCTGCTATTTCAGATTTTCAATACACTCCATTCTGTATAATGTCATTATACAAATTTATGTCCTCATTTGTCACAAAAACGCGCACACACTCACACACACACACACACACACACACGGTCTACAGAAAACACAAGACATATGAGATAATGTGAACATTATGTACTTTGTTTACTGGTTTGTTTTGGTTGGTCGTGGTTTTTTCCAGTCAGCTCACTTCTGATGATGGTTTACTGCATCTAAACACACTCATGTAGTGTTGGTGTAGATTCTGTACAGATGTGTGTGTGTGTGTGTGACGGTCAGGTGAGCAGCTGGTCCTCAAGCCTCGCGGTGTTTATTTCCAGGCCTTTAACGTATCTGGGTCTGAAGATCTTCTCTCGGTTCAGTGTCTGTGAGTTCCTGAGCTGTCCGGAGGCGACGCTGCGCTCCTGGCTGCAGAGCATTGAGACCAATTATCACTCCAGCAACTCCTACCACAACTCCACACACGCCGCAGACGTGCTCCACGCCACCGCATACTTCCTGCGCAAGGAGCGCGTCAAGGTGAACACACACAGCACTCGCTAACACGTTTGTGTCATCAGGATACAAAAACATGATCTGCTTCACTTAGAACCTGCTTTGTGAACGGGTTTGGCTGATCCTCACTTCATGTTGCTGTTTATGTCCTGTTAAAAAAATTGTTTATCTATTTTTGGATGCGGCTTGTACAGATGTGTGTGTGTGTGTGTGACGGTCAGGTGAGCAGCTGGTCCTCAAGCCTCGCGGTGTTTATTTCCAGGCCTTTAACGTATCTGGGTCTGAAGATCTTCTCTCGGTTCAGTGTCTGTGAGTTCCTGAGCTGTCCGGAGGCGACGCTGCGCTCCTGGCTGCAGATCATCGAGACCAATTATCACTCCAGCAACTCCTACCACAACTCCACACACGCCGCAGATGTGCTCCACGCCACCGCATACTTCCTGCGCAAGGAGCGCGTCAAGGTGAACACACACAGCACTCGCTAACACGTTTGTGTCATCAGGATACAAAAACATGATCTGCTTCACTTAGAACCTGCTTTGTGAACGGGTTTGGCTGATCCTCACTTCATGTTGCTGTTTATGTCCTGTTAAAAAAATTGTTTATCTATTTTTGGATGCGGCTTGTGAACATTTCTTACACCGCACAGAACAGACTTGGCTGAAGTCACGTGATTCACAGTTATTTGACACAGCTTTGACTAGCAGTAGCAGTGATGGTCAGCATATGCTAATGAAAGACGGCATGCAGTCGTGATGGTGTTAGCGCAGGAACCACAGCTCTGTGTTACTGCAGCTTCATATGTTTCCCTGTGTCTCTTTCTCAGCAAAGTCTGGACCCCATAGACGAGGTGGCGGCTCTGATCGCGGCTGCCGTGCATGATGTCGATCATCCTGGACGGACAAACTCCTTCCTGTGTAACGCAGGAAGTGAACTAGCCATACTGTACAACGACACAGCCGTGCTGGAGAGTCACCACGCCGCGCTGGCCTTCCAGATCACCACACGAGATGACAAGTGCAACATCTTCAAGAACATGGAGAGGTACACGCTATTCATTCCCTCTGAAGATGTTATGGACGGTCTTGTTCCTGTTTTGCGAACGCTGTGATTCGCTGTTGCGCTCTATAAGCGGAGCGTTGATTGCTTGTTGATGTCAGTCACTGCAGATGTTCTGAACTTTCCTCTTGTTTTAGTGCAGTGGTTGATTGACAGGTGAGCAGGTTCAGGACGCGCATGTGTGTGTGTGTGACTGTGACTGTGAGAGTGAGTGTGTGTGTGTTTTCAGTATGATGTGATCTCATGCGTCTCTGATGGTGAATGTGGACTCACTGATCGGATCTCAAAGCATTTCAGACCCTGTTCTGACACAGGGTCACACACACCCCCGCTGACGCTGCTCTCTCTCACAGGAACGAGTACCGCACGCTCCGGCAGGCCGTCATAGACATGGTCCTCGCCACTGAGATGACCAAACACTTCGAACACGTCAACAAGTTTGTCAACAGCATCAACAAACCGCTGGCAACACTGGAGGAGAACGGGGTGAGAATCACACACACACACCTCACACACACACCTCACACTAACACACACCTCACACTAACAAACACACACACACACCTCACACTAACACACACACACCTCACACACACACCTCACACTAACACACACCTCACACTAACACACACACACACACACACCTCACACTAACACACACACACCTCACACTAACCTCACACTAACATACACACACACACACACACCTCACACTAACACACACACACCTCACACTAACACACACACACACATACACACAGGCCCTGTCCCTAATGGCACCCTAAACCCTTGTGGTCTTCCTCGGAGTCCGCACTTTCGTGACGTAATGCCGCTTTGGCTGTCGGGTAGAAGTCTGCTGCGGAGCTCGCACCAGTGCGGATCGAGGGCGCTCACGAGCACCCTTCTGAACGCTAAAATGACAAATGGGACACCCTACGGTCTCGTAGACTTAACAGACATGCCATTGTAAGTCCGTAAAACCACAAGTGCACATGAAGTGTTCCATTTGAGACAGGGCCTCAGACTCACACACACAGACAGAGTTTTGTGTGTGTGGTGTAAGATGCCGTGTGCAGGTAAATGCTCTTTAATGACCCAGAGAGTGTTGGTTTATTAATGAGGATGTCAGTATTCATTCTGTGGTGTGTGTGTGTGTGTTTGTAGGACAATGGTGATGAGGACTCGGTGAAGAGCATCCTGACGGCTCCAGAGAACCGGATCCTGGTGAAGCGGATGTTGATCAAATGCGCTGATATCTCGAACCCCTGCAGGCCGCTGGAGCTGTGCATCGAGTGGGCCGGACGCATCTCAGAGGAGTATTTCGCACAGGTGTGAATGTGTGTGAGAGTGAGTGTGTGTGTGACTGTGTGTGACTCTGTGAGTGAGTGTGTGACTGTGTGTGATAGTGAGTGTGTGTGTGTGTGTGACTGTGTGTGTTTGTGTGTTACGGGTTGCACCGACTAGTCGACTTCAATGCTCTGCCATGACGCTTTAAGCTTGACGTCGACTAGTCGCTGGTCCTATAGAGGGCGCAACAGGATAAGAAATCTTTGAAGGACTTCCACATTTACGCTCTGTTTCCAAACAGTTCAAATGACAAATAAATGCATACTCTGAAAGCGCTCCACAAGACGTGTGATTATATTACTGGATGCTCGAAATTGAACGAGAGAATGCACGTTTTAAACAGCTTATTGCACAGGTAAGTTAATCGCTGTTCTGATCTAATGCGCTGCTGCACTGTAACACACACACACACACACACACACATACACACTCACACACACACTCACACAC